AGACGCAAAGGATCTAATTTGGGCTGATGAATGACTAACTCTACATACTCTACACAGGATAATATGGACGTGCGTGGAAACATGACACAATCATGTGAAACACGTTCACAATCTTCACCTGGCTCAACCAAATGTAAAATGATTATTAGAAGAAAGACAAGCAGGTCGATTCGTAGTTGACACACACTCAGAGCAATGACAAACAATGCTCAATGATGGTTTGCTCTTTTGTTTTTTAGCACATAGAGTATTTACATCCGATTCTTACCATTGTCTGAGCTTGATATTAAATGTTACGCCCAAGCGAAAGTGTAGATTGGTGCTATGGACAAGGAATATCCACATTGTAATATGCTAAGATTCTAAAATGAGCCAGCCGAGATTGCTTCCCATAATACTGCACTTCAGTACTAATCCAGATTCATGATGGTCAGTTCAAAAATTGTATTCATGTTTACAAATAATATCGTTTGTAGCAACAGAAATATTTACTGTATTGCTGCACACGGCCAAAAATGCTATTCAATGTTCAAAATCTATAGTCAATTTGATCACATTATATGCTCAATGCTGCCAATGCCAGAGGAACTATAAAAGTTTTAAACAAATTACTTTATAGGCATTAATGACATACTCTTAAAGATTACTCACCAATCGGAAGAATGCAAGTTGTAAATATGGTAACCTCAATTAATTAGCTTCCAGCCATCCTATTGTCTCAGTCTTCACTGGTAAGAAAGAGTTAGTACTATATTTTATAAATTACGTTTCTTAAATGACTCATTGAACTGTTTGAGATAAATAAAATTAAAGTTAGCACTACTAAGGTTGAAACCTACCTATGCCAATGGTTCTGCTTTCAAAATTTCAAGTGTCTTTCTTTAAACTAGGCATGTTAAAAGGGGAATGTTGCTGGAAGTCAACAGTCCCGGAAGATCAAATAATTTATACCTGTGCCTCTAGGTCAAAAACTACAATGTTTGCAGTGTCTGTAGATCAAAAGTCTCAGTAAGTCAAATAATACAGTCCGAGCTAAAAACGTGGTCTATGTTAAAGCAATTGACTTATTGGGAATTTGACCTAATGCAACAGCAGTTTTAATATAACGAAATACGGTAAAATACAAGTTCAGTTTCGCTGAGTCAACAGTGCCGGAAGATCAAAAGCAATAAAAGTGAACGTCGATTCAGTGTAAAGTAGACCTCCTGCAACGCTTACTACACCAACAAAACTCGCTTTTAGTTACTTCGTGTTTTGTCATAATTAGAATAGAGCTAAAATTATCATATTTGGTACATAGCTTATCTATTAATGCTTCTTTTCTTGCCAACTGTTTGGTCAACACTGTAAATAGGTATAGTTTATGTAATGAAAAGCCTTTCGTCAAAATTTGTGGCATAAAATACACGCAAGGACGATCTGAAAATTTCTGGTTATTATATACGTTTGTAAAAGGAGATCCATTTAATTGTAGAACTATTTTATGAGTTATAATGTAGTCTACATATAAACTGTGTAAACGTATTACGCCTCGGAAGGGTTGAAACCTGTCCAAACTATCATATATATTATTAAAATGTAAATGGGGTTTTTTCACATTCTGAATCAACCAGTCGACGGATTTTCATTATTTTTGTGTTGAAAGAAAGATAATTTTGAGAACCAGGGAATGTCAAAGCCATAATTATAATTAAGGGTACCAGTTTTTTAGAAATTAAGTTTTAATTTTTAAAAAGTCTAGCAGCCGACGCTAACCTTCTAAGCTAGCTTTTAGTTCAATATAATTTGCTTAACATAACAGCTGTAAACATTCAGCATATGTGACACAAATTTAAAGACATATTTAGAGTTGACTTATTTATACTATGTGTAATGCTGACCATTGATACATTCAATTCTTAGGTATGAGGATGGCAGATTAATTAAATATGCATAGTAAACTAGTAGGATGTTCAAATTAATTTTTAAAGGAATCTTTGTAATCATTGATTTGTTTTAGTCCCATATAATTTGTTTTAACCAACAGCTGGTTGAATGTAATATTGTTCTATATAACTATTAATTATAATTAATTATAACTATTTTTGCTATAAACTTACTTGTTTAGGAGTTACATGATGTAAAATGTACACCGGAAGTCATTTTTCCATAGGCTGTAACTCCTAAACGAGTGGGTTTATCAAAAAAATGTCCAGGATAAAAAAGTTTTTAAATTGCCTATTCTATCCGAAAACATGATAAAATATAGGGTGTTCCATAAGAAATTTCAAAATTGGCCGCCATTTTGGAAACTAAAATCATATTTTTAACTGCCACAGAAAATAAAGGAATGTCCCCCATTTTAAGTTTTCTCTAATTCTTACCGTTTCCGATATCCCAATGGTGGCCTCCTTGAGTTGATCACCTGTATCGCCTATATTTATTTATTTATATATTTTCCCCGGGGGGAAACCCAGGACCCCCCTCCTTTTTGAGGGGTATTCCATACCCCCCAGGCCCCCGGTGACCCCCCCAAAATATATGTCTAGGACCGCTTTTGTCTTCTTTACCTATAAAACACATGGGATACAGCCTTTCTTCACTGATCACGTAATGCGTGATTTTCTATAAAGTCTTGGAAAAATAAAAGGTAAAATAGATAGAATACAGGTGTACTGTATGTGGTTTACACACAATGATATAAGCAACGGTTCTTGCAATTTATTGCTTATTGTTTTTTAGAGTTGTTTTCGGACTTACTCACACTCGTATAAGGTTGTCCACAGCTGTTAATTAATAGTCCATACAGTCAATTAATAGCAACAGAGGTCAAGTTTGGTATCAAGTTAAAGGTTTTATTCATAAAAATACATTGCCGCAAACCCAAACTCAAACGATGATGATGATGATAATCATGTTAATGATGTAGCTAAAACGTATCGTTTGAAATTAAACAGCTGAAAATAAGTGAAATAGAAATAGTATATTTCGTACCAAGGGCCGAAAATGAGGTTTTGCCGGCTCGGATAGTTTTTAAGTTCGAGACGAAGTCGAGAACTTAAATCGATCGAGAGCTGCAAAACCATTTCGGTCCGTGGTACGAACGCTATTTTTCACCACACTATACCCTATTACCACTATTCACCACTATAATAATGCACACTGATAGTCAACACAACTACAACTTTAAGGTTATGTGAAGAAATAATTTGAGGAATCAGCAAAAATTAAAATAAATAGTTACTAGGCAACGGTGACAATAACACAATTCTATTGCAATGCTATGGATTTTGATTGTGTATTTAAAATGCATTCATGTTTTAAGTAAGTAAGCGGACAGCTGATTTTGCGGCCCCGGCCTGTAAAAACCTGCTAGGTCCCCAAATTACGATGACAGCTGGCATGGCCAGCAAAACGTAACTTTCAGCCACCAATTAACGTATGTAATACAGCCAAAAACATCATAGTGTGGTGAAAAGGTTTTTGTTAAATCCATCAAAGTAAGTACTAATGCACTTGTGATCCCTCCCCCTTCGGTTTCATGTATTCCACTCAATCAGTTCAAACCTAGGAGGATTAAACTATAATGTTAATTAATGTTAAATCCTCCTAGGTTCAAACCTGAAACACCCAGATCGAAACTCACCTGTCGTTATTTTAACATCGCCATATTTTTTTACTATATTTTTCAAAAAAGAAAGATTGTATTGATTTACTTTAAATTTTAAAAATGTGAACGTTTTATTTTATTAAAGATTTATATGGTGATACGTAAATATTGTGGTGTAGTAAAGTATATTATATTGTAGTTAAGTGTAAAATTTTGAAATTTTAAGGTTAATAGAGATGAATCGTTTTTAATAACTTGGGTCTCTCCTACCTTAACATACATACCAAGTTTCATTAACATCGGTTGGAAAAGTGTAAAGATAAATATTTGTATGTAAAAAATACAAAATGGCGGATATCTGGTTAACGAAACGATTTTGGAAAAAATGTTACGGTATCCTTCATTTTCTGTTTATTTTGACCCAAGGAATTACTAGGTAAAATATCTCCCCGCTTATTTTTAACACCCTGTTTATGATGTATTCTTATTAATATAAGTGAAAAGTGTAAGCTGGTAATACAGAAAGATGTTTTATAAATAATATGAATGAACTGGTGATTTGTATATTCATATTTTTCTTGTCCTTAGAAGTGTAAATTAAAAGTCCACTCAGCAGTCCCATCGTACGATGTAGTTCTTTCCATGCGTTGCGAAATGCTAAATTTGCCGTCCTCTTCAACCCAAGTTATCTATTGAACCACTGATTGTAAAAAATTTAAAAAATATATATTTTACGCATCACACTTTTAGCTACAACTTTGCCACAGACAAAACCACTCTAACCCAAAAACAAAAAAAAATCTCGCATGCTAACTTTTTCATGTTAGAAATCACGATTTAAAACTATTTCACCATACATTTTTCAATTTTTTTTTAATTAGATCGGTAAATAGTTTAAAGTTCCAACAAAATAGTCATCGAGTAGGACTAACCAAGAAGCTCTGTGCCAAATTTCAAAATTTTAGCACAACTTTAAGTAAACCAAAACACGAAATTATTGAAGTCATGCGTCGAGAGGACTATCGTTGTTTTTAACAGATTATACTTTTGACCTTCCGGCACTGTTGACTCAGCGAAACTGAACTTATATTTTATCTTATTTCGTTATATTAAAACTGCTGTTGCATTAGGTCAAATTCCCAATAAGTCAATTGCTTTAACATAGACTACGTTTTTAGCTCGGACTGTACTATTTGACTTACTGGGACTTTTGATCTACAGACACTGCAAACATTGTAGTTTTTGACCTAGCGGCACAGGTATAAATTATTTGACCTTCCGGGACTGTTGACTTTCTGCAACGCGTCCGTTAAAAGGCCCATGACACTTCTTAGTTTTGATTAAACACTTTTTTATAAGGTATGCTTTTAAAGGAGGGAGATGCTTTTGGGGATACGAAAACCCCAAGTAATTGTAACAAAATTTGAATTTATTAATACATTCAAACTACAAATAAATATTATTTTTTTGTGAACCTAAAACACTATGAAGTTAATCTTGTCCACTTTTCACTGACTAACCAAAGCCATAGAGCAGTTTTATCTTCTTCTGCCTGCTGTGACACTTCAGCTTCTTCACAATTACTGAAACATTTGTCATATTGTAACTTAAAAGGACATCTAATAACTGATAGCTAGGTTAATCCTTGACGCAACACTGTGCTAAAAATGTACACGTGAAATTGTAATTAAAGAATAATTGATTATTCATGTCATTTGTGGAACAAACAAAATGATGATTAACAATTTGACCGAAACCCCAGTCTGACAGGCCCATGGGAATTTTCACAAACCCATGTTGGCAACACTGTTTACTTGGAGGATTCCATTCCCTCAATACCTCCCCCCTTTTCCTCCCCTACCTGATATATTGTTTGTTCATTTTGCGTGGGTGCCGTGACCTTGACAGGTTGTCTGTTCATAACATGCCCGTCTCAGATGCCCAGCGTTAGTGTACAGTATTTTAAAGCGGGGTCTCACAGGCCCAGGGTTTCAGTTTGTGTGTTTCTAAGCGGGGTCCATTATTTTCCAATGGGGTCTCACAGACCGGGGGTTTCGGTTAGCGTCAGCCTGGGTAAGGTTTCAGCATTAGTGTTAAAGAGAACTAACCATAGTGGAAGGGGAAAGGAGACATATTTTTTTTAGTATTAATTGCATTTGGACTGGACATGTTTATGTATATATTTTTTTGCTATGATGGTTTAAAATAACTGATTCGTTTCCATGACTGGAATAATCTGCTGTACCGGTACCTTGGGAGTTGAGGGACCAATAAAATATTTATTAGGAGTTTTAAGAGCAAATTTGGAGCTTGCAGAGAAGAGGCAACAATGAAGAAGAGAACCTAGTGTGGCCACAGCAACAAAACTATTTGAATTTTTTCTTTCTCCGCAAAACCACGCGATTAATTCTCTCTGAAATAGGCACAAACTTCTTTGAAAACTACCATTTAAAAAATATTTTGTAAGGTAGGCCTTGAATATATTTTTTTGCTCACAGTCTTCATACACCTCAATATTACCCAAATTGTATAACAAGTTTAGAATACACTAAACCTAAAACACAAGCCAAATGTGTGGGCATTGGGCAAATCAACAACTACGATTTTCTTTCATTGTTTTCTCTTACTTATCTTCAACCCACGGCAACATACTCAAAGATACAATGCTTGCACTACAAAAGGCTATTGTACTTTGCATTTCCAGGTAGTAAAAAATCTTATAACATGTTACATGCATATTAAACTTGGTGTGTAGTACATGTTAACTCACCTGAAATATTTACCAGAGACTTTTTCCAGTTCTGGTAAGAGAGCTGCGTAGAGCAATGTCTGCGCTCCTTGCTGGGGTGTGCGGGTGAACAGCCACATGAATGGCTTCACAAAGATGGCTGCAATGTAGCTGTTGAATATACTCATATGCCTGGTGATCTCTGTGTCCACTATGCCAGGGTGAACTGCATTCACTGTTACACCAGTACCTGCACAGTGCACATCAGACCAGTGTAATCACTTGTACAATCTACTTTTCTAACTTCAATCTCTTTTGTGATTTTAAAAGGATTTCTTGGTTTTAGCGAATTTACCTATTGGTGTTATTGACTATAGTTGAATATGGCATCGTTACTTGTTTCCGTTCTATCAAAACTTTTGAATAGTCGTCCAAAAAAATCCATAAGTTCACAAAACTCTATGAGATTATGCCTCCTTCAAAAAATTTAGGCAGTTTGAGGGGCAGCAAACCCATTCCCTCAAGCTCATTTTTATAAAGTGGTTGGGGAACCCAGGAAACCTTCCTTCCCCTTAAACGGTCTAAATTTTGTGAATGGATAAATGGCATGTGGATGGAAGTTTACCTTGAATATATATTATAAAAGATTATCTAAGTATTACAGATATCGAGATATCCTACGTTCTTAGGAAATTTGATGTGTGTTCATTACTGTTTGTAGGGTAACAGTCTAAACCTCAACATTATTATTGTGTCGTGGTTGTTTCATAACAAATAAAAATGTTTATCATTATCTAGAATCATGTGGCAATAATGACATAGTTCTGTAGCTGAATTGCATTCAACTTTAAGATCAAGGAATTCTTGTCCAAGTGCAGTTGGTACCATTCTTTAATAAGGAAATTATAAATAAGATCTAATTTTGATGTTAGCCTATTAACATTTGGGAGTTTGCCTATTGTACTTTTATAGTTGGGTATACAATGGCAAAAAAACCAAACAAAAACCGTCTTTACTTACAGTTTAGTTGTCAGGCATTTTCTTTCAAGTGTAAAAGGTACATATAAACTAGCACAGTTACCTTTTAATGGAATTAGTTCAAGGTGTATACTATTTTTTCAAAGTGAAATTCCAGGTTTTTTCCTGGGTTTTCAAAGTTTTTCCAGGTTCCGCGTCAATGATTCCCTTGTGAACATTATATTAATTCCCACGTGAATGTTTAGTTCCACTATAACCAATTTAAGACTTGCAGCTTAAGTATACATCAATATACATCACATATATTCCTAATGATCCAAAGTTCAGTTAGCTAGTGTTGAAAAAATAATACTCCTCATTAAATTAATCATTTTCATTATCATCATCACTTAAGGTCAACACCATCTCTCCAAAAACATCATCTCTCTCGATAAAGAAAAAATTGCCTTGCTTATGAGTAATCTTCGATTGGGAGATTATTATAAAATTTTGATCCCGCATACATGGGTTTTTTTTTCAAAAAGTTTCAGACTATGGTGGCCAATTGCAAGGCTTTCCCGATTTCTGGTGAAATAATTATGACTCTCCCAAACTCGTTCCAAATCATGAAGTCTGTCTTTTACTGATAAAATTGTATCAAAAACGTAAATTCCGTAAATTGTCATTATATTTTCAGATTTAAAATGTTCTTTATTAACAGAAGTTTCAAAATCCAAATTGCAGATAATTCTAATAGCTTTCATTTGCTTTTTTAGAATAGAATTCAAGATGTAATCACTAGTTGCACCATAAAGTGAAATCCCGAAAGATATACTTGAGTGGATACATGAAAAATATATAACTTTTAGAGTTTGTTTTTCACATTAGGGTTTCAATCTAGATAAATCATATAATCCTGATGAGATTAACTTTTCAACGTGACTGTTCCATTTCAGATTTTTATCAATTTCCAATCCCAAGAATTTAATGTTGCTCATACTTAGAATTTCTGTGTTCTCGAGTTTGATGATAGGTTTATTTTAATCCCCTAATTCTCGAATTAGAAAACTAATTAAATTTGTCTTATCTGGATTAAGAAGCAAATTATTAGAACAAAAAAATATATTTAACACTGCTATATCGGAATTTGCCTTAAGTTCAATTTCATCGTTTTATTTTGCAGTGATTTTCAAATTAGTATCATCGGCATATAGGCAATGTTCACTCAAGTCAGTGAGTTAGGGAAAGTCTCTAAAGTAACAAATGAATAATAAAGGGCCTTAGATGGACCCCTGAGGCACTCCAAATTTCACATCTCTAATAGAGGATCGGTAATGAACTTTATTGTTTTTGTTGTTTTGGTGAATTATTTCTACAAACTGTTTTCTGTTGGAAAGGTAAGACTTCAGTAACTTTAATGCATTGTTCTTTATCCCTAATTTGCTTAGCGTTGAAAGTAAAAGGGCATGTGATATTGAATCAAAGTCTTTACTTAAATCCATAAATAATTCTACCACTTTTAATTTACTGTCCAAACTATCAATAATAGACTCAACAAACTTTGTGGCAGCTGTTATTACCCATCTACCACTGCGGAAATCATGTTAAATCTGAGAAATAATTATGAATAAAGAATATTGTAGGCTATTAATTTCATGATCACGGCAAAATACTTGTCGTCTCTCGCGGTCACGGATACACTATCATCGTCCGCGATCGCAGCAAGTTCCAGGGCTTCTCCCACAGTATGTATACATTATTGTCGTATTCTGCGGTCACGGGAATGTCATCACAGTATTTCATGATCATTGAAAAATCCTTGTCGTCTACCACGGTCATGGAAACATCATCACAATCTTTCACGATTGCGGCAAATTCCTGGACGTCTCCTGCGGTTTATAGACATTATCATAGTGTCTCGCGGTCAAGGAAACATTATCATCCGCATCCGCAATTGCTGCAAAATTTGGGGGATCTCCCGCGGTATGTAGACATTATTGTCGTCTCCCGAGGTCACGGAAACGTCGTCATATCTCTGCGATCAGGAAAATGTGTGATTTTATCTATTGCGCGAACTTCACAGACCTATTTTACGATTGTAATCTTCTACCGAGGCTAAAATACAAATTTCCGAATTGCTCCTAAAGTCCCGGTTTTTTCAGGCCCCTCCATATTTAATTTTTGTTCGTGTTCTTTTGGTTTCTCGGTTGGTATACATCCTGTAAATCATCTATTCCCCTAAATAGGTAAGATCCTATTACCACAGTCGTATTACCATAGTGATTTACTATAGCCTATTATCTGAAATCATCAGGAGTCTTATTTTACCTTGTAATCTCATGGCCAGTTCTTTTGTGAACAATATGTTGGCAAGTTTACTTTGGTTATAAGCTTCACCTGCGTCATAGTTTTTTTCACTGTTCAAGTCATCCTTTTTTATTTTCCCTCTTTTATGGGCTGTGCTTGATACATTAATAATGCGGCTTGGTACACTTTCCTGAAACATAATTTGGGAACAGAAACTGTATTAACTGATGCAGAGTAGTGCTAGAAACCTAAATTGATTACAGGATATACATCCACATAAGTTGTGGTATTTTGGGCTGGAAACCACGAATTAATTGTAATAAAGTTTGAAATGGGGAGTCTGAGATTCTGAAAGATGGCTGCAAAGCAAATTTTCATCATAGCAAAAAAATTGTTGCTGGCTTAAGAAAAAGAAGGTTCTGTAAACGTGTTGAAAAAAACTCTGTCTTTTTCCATTACAACGTCAGAAATCAAACTTGTTTTATAGTTATACTGGTTTTGAGAAACAACATTCCTATCCTATCAATATTCAATATTTGCACTTGCAACACCAGAGAAAGGACATAGACAAAACAGTGATGTTGATCATACCTTGAGTCTGTCTAGAAGTAGGTTTGTAAGGAGAAAGTGTCCCATATGATTCACTCCAAGTTGCATTTCTATTCCCTCAACAGTTCTTGAGAAAGGGCATCTCATTACTCCTGCATTGTTGATTAATATATCTAATCGTTGGTGCTCTACACAAAAATACACTATACTCAATATTTGTTATTATAAATCATACAGTTATATAGGCTAGTGAAAAGTAGATTTATTTTATTCTCTTATGTCATTCAAGATTATCGACAACAATGGGTGCATTCTGGGAACATCTATTGTTAATCTGGTGACTTACTCACCGGTACCGCCCCGGGGAAAGAGTCTTGGGTTCCAGAATGATTGGTCACTGGTTTAAAGTGCACATCAGATAATAATTTACACATCAACCTACTATTTACCTTATAACATCAAAATCAAACAAACTTACCCTCACAGAATAAATTATTTGCTTATTATGTAATATAATCTAACAACTGATACACAATTGAAGAATATTTTTTATTCAATGGACCCACTATCATTCCATAGCTGCTGACTGGTGTTTTAGAACTGACCCATCAGAGGCCGCTGGTATATTACGTACCACATGATTTCTCTGATGGAGGAAAAAGAGGAAATGGTTGTCTGCTAGATAAACTCTCCAGTCTCGCAGAACGACGTGCACTTTTATGTTGGTATGTCAAAACCCTAAAGCTGGGTTTTCCTAGGCGTGGAGAGAGGAACGTGGAGAGCGGACTCCTCTTGTCTTAGGTAATTTAATGTTACTGTTTTCCTGGAGGTGGAGCGGAATGCCATGTAAATAGTTTCTCCGCTCTCCGCCCTCTGCTCTCTGCTCTCCTCTTCTGCGTCTAGGAAAACCCTGCTTAACCCAGCATTAAATAATCTGAATAATAATAATCTTCCTACTGGAAGAGCTGATCTTAGTGTAATATATTCACATTCCCTGGCTCTTTTTAACAATTATCTGAATCACCTGTAAAATGTGTCATCTGTGGGTGAGGATCCAATGATACACATTTCCTTTTTGTATGGCCATGGCATACAAAATATTTATTTTGTTTGTTAAAAATACAAATAATTTTATTGTAGGCTATAGTTCTGTCCGATGCACTGTACAGGATTTTGTTTACAATTTGTTTCTTGTTATTTCAGTCATTTAACACTAGTACTGAAACCCTATCCAGGCTGACGCTAACCGAAACCCCCGGTCTGTGAGAACCCGTTTTAAAATACACTAATGCTGGGCTTCTGAGACGGGCATGTTATGAACAGACAACCTGTCAAGGTCACGGCACCCACCCAAAATGAACAAACAATATATCAACAGGTAGGGGAGGAAAAGGGGTATTGGAATCCCCCAAGTAAATAGTGTTGCCAACATGCGTTTGTGAAAATTCCCGTGGGCCTGTCAGACCGGATTTTCGGTAAAAGTGTTAAAACCTTGTTTAACTAAAACGATCTAATGATAAACAATAACTTGTCTCCTAGTTATTTAACAAAACAGTACGGTAAAGCAAAAATTATGAAATTAACCCTAAAATAATAGATACAAATTTTTTTTGACACTAGTAATTGGTGTCACCGGATATGAACTATACACATAAAACTAGCTTCAAAATATACAATGGGATGAGAAGTCTACTTGTGTCGGTTAGTCTATGATTCTGGGGACACTCATCCTTCACTCATATTTGGGTTAAAATACGCACCTAAGTGGTGTCTCAATTTAAATTAATCTTAATTGATTGATTGAATTTTGGTGTAGTCAGAAAATGGCCTGATACAAATCAACTTTTGAATCAGTCCTTTCCAAGGGCAACCCTATGTGGCCTTTAGTCTCAATTTTATTAGTAATATACAATCCTCCCTTTGTAAAATGGCACTGCCAAAGCCCTGACTGAACATACTGGTGATTAGCCAATGTCTGCTGTAGTCAATTGCATTATATGCCTAGTGGTTAGATTATTCTTTAAGTTACATATTTGTTCAAACATTGGCATTTATTTTGGTTGTTTACCTTTTTTAAACCGATCAGCAAATGTTCTGATTGACTCTTGAGAAGCTAAGTTGCATGATCTACAATAGACAAACTTGTTCTTTGTTTGCAATACAATATCCTCACGTGCCTGAAACAAGTAAAAGCAAACAATGTTCAGACTCAAAATAAATTTAATGAACTGGAAAATGTCTTTATTTAAGAGGCAAAATTAAGATTTACAAGTCCTCTCTCTCTACCCTTTAACCTCTAAACATAAATAAGACTATTCTTATATATAAAAAAAAAATAAAATGAGTAATGACATAGGATACCTGAAACCTATAAAAAACCTATAGGAAACCTGATGAAATTCAATATCAATCCCCTGAATAGAATCATTCACACAAGCCGCCAACAACCCGTTACACCAGCACCAGAGATTCACTAATTCCTGCTCCTCAACATAATGGAATTTTTAAAATTTCAATGAATACTATGGATATGTTAATTATAGTACACCTATTACAGTGTAAATCTTAGAGACTAGATATGCTATAGACCTAGGCCAAACTTACTCTTTTGGTAAAACCTTACCTTTTCACACTTGGCAATGTCCCGGCATGCCATTACCACTTTAGCTTTTCTTTTGGCCAGTTCCAAAGCTGCTTCCCGGCCAATCCCAGTGTTTGCTCCTGTAATTATCACTACTTTTCCTTCGACAAGCTCCTCACCCTCATATTTTTTCCCTCCAAAATAATCTCTGTAAATTGTAAATACATACTTTTAATCTCAATATTAATAAGAAGCCCATTTGTGACTGTTACATCAAAACTGTTGATTCAACAGATTTAAAATTTTCGATTGATGCAATGTTAGTTGTTTGGACAATAACATCATCCGGTAACTAACATTCTTTTTAAAGGAAAAGTTTAATGTTCCTTAGAAAAATACTTCCCTGGTCCTCATCTATGTAATGATAGTAATAAATCTTAATCAAAACAAACAAAGGAGCTTTCATGAATTTGCAAATTTAATGCTGTTTATGCAATCAAATACCTAATTCTTATTCTCATTCTCTTTAATTATAACAATCATTTAACACGTTTGCTACCGATCATCAACTATAGTTGACGCAAGAGTTTAAGTCTCTGCCCTAACCTGCGGGCTAGATCTCCATTTTGGACCAAGCTTATAGAATTAAACATACCCGCTCAGACCAATCTTTTCTATTCGTTTTTCTGATCAACTAGGCTCAGAACGAGGTATTTATATCAAAAATTGCAGTACTTAAAACAAAAAAAATTAATCATGTATCTATACCCTATATTTAATATGCTAGGCATATTTGTCATAATTGTTTTGGAGTGGTGGTGCTACCGATCACCATGTCCAAGGTGTCGTTAGAAAGGTCTTGTTTATTAGCATGTAGTTTTGCCATCAAACAAAAAAAAACTTTGGAATTCCATCAGGGCTCTGCCCCAGTGGCCTTCAAAGTTCCCATGTGATTCTTAGGGAGAAAATGTTTGTTTACATTTTAACAGATGAATACTTTGAAATCGACACTAATATTTGAAACAGCTGGTTATACTAAAATGTTGCACAAAATCAAAACATAACCAAAAAACGTTCGACATAATGGAGACTAAGACAATGAACAGGACGGCCAATAGGAGGAGGCCGACGAACTTCAACTGGTAGACGCGAACGAAATACAAAAATACTATTGTCGTTGATAGCCGAATACAGCAAGCACCCTTCCGTGTTGGGTTTAAGTGTGCTCTCCAACAGCCGCCTGAAGATTTCACATTCAATTTAGGACTGTTGGATAATCCTGCATAAGCTGTTGATTTTGGAAGACAAGGAGGTGGGTAGGACTACATCGGAAATAGAAGAAAGGAGATAAGTGGCAAATGCGTTGGGAGCAGAGTGTTTTTTGTTAACGTTTTAAAGGTAAACGTTTTAATGTAAATAACGTAAAAAAGTTCGGATATATACCTTACATCAGAAAGAAAATGGAACAAGATTGGGAGATGGGCCATTATGAAACGCAGTTTGTCACAGGACATGGAAAATTTCAAGGCGAATTTGTGGAGATTTCATGAGGTGGAAGAGGAAGTATGTAGATGTGGAGAGATAAAAACCCCGAGTCACGTATTTATAAATTGTTCACTTCAGGAGACAAATAGGAGAGAACAGGCGAAGAAGTCTTGGATAAGATAGGTTTAGAGATGAGAAAATAAAAGATGATGAGTGACAAGGAAACAATTGAGACGTTTAGAAAAGTAGCTAGGGAAATAGGAAAAACCAGGGATACATAGGCCTACATGCGTTAAAATTTAAAAAAGAAACAAAAAAAATCTAAGAAAGAAAAGGAATGAAAACTTGCCCATGAAGGGGAGAGGAAAGATTAGAGCGAATCTCAATGATCCCTTCCGCTCAAGGCGGTATGGAGAAGGGAGTCGTGCTGTTAGCCTTTTGGACACATAATGTGTCTGGAAACCTATTGTGGCTATGAGTAAGGTTATTTGTAGAAAACACTATTTACAATAAATGTTGATTATATTGATCTGTTATGCACTTATTGAGTATTTCCATAATCTTTGAGTCGAAAATTTTGAAGTCATTAGAAATTATGACTGTTATTCGTTTTAAAATAACGCCTGTAATACTTAGCAATTTGCTCGAATTCGAGCAACAGGTACACTAGTTAAAATAAATTGTTTTGTCCTCAACTATAGTTGAAATTGGTCGATCGCTTACTTTGTTTGAGCATGTATGACTTTATTCATTAGTAGTAGGTTATGATGATATTTTTTCATGATATAAGTTAAAAACCCCAGCCGCAGCAAACCTGCAGACTAAGCGAATTTCCATTTGCCTAATTAGATTTACATTAAAATGTCGCCTTAAAAATATCACATTTATTCCCTATTTTGTTGTAAAATGTTAACAGTTTAGTAAGAAATTAATGTATTTTCCAAATATGATCAAAATATGTTCATAAACACGCAAACTACAACAGTTGCCTTATCTATATATATAAAGCTCAAATACCACTGACTCATTCATTCACTCACTCACTCACTCATCACGAAATCTCAGAAACCATAAGACCTACCTAGGAACCTGAAACTTGGCAGGCATCTTCCTTTTGGGTAGTAGACGCTCACTAAGAAAGAATTTTACCCTTCGACCTCTGGGCTCCGCCCCAGTGGCTCTGGAGTTTCCCATGTTAACCTTATGAGTACTCATATTTAAATGGAATTAATGAATCTTAACAGCTGTTTCAATTAAACAAGTTGGTTCTGTTCTATGATGTTCAATAGCATTAAAGTTACAAGGATTACCAACAGGGTGCAGCACTATTATTTCTTTTACATTTATGACCACAGCTAATTTGCAACCAAAAGAGTGAGCATAGCGAACGAACTTCAACCTGGAGGCGAGTTAGCGTAGCGAACGAGTTAATCTGAAGGCAAGTGAGCGCAGCGAACGAGCTCTAACCTAAAAGTGAGTGAGCGTAGCGAACGAACTTCAACCAGGACGTCAGGACGTGATTGAGCCACGCGAACGAGATCATCTTGAAAATTAAGAAGTTAAACGGGGCAAAGCCCGCGGGTTACATCTAGTATATTGATATAAAGTCAAAGTTGATTAAATTAATTTAACGGTGGCTTCTGTAGGCCCGTGAATTAACGGGTAGAACCTCTTGTTCCTGTTTAAAATGGAACATTCATTATAAGGTCTATTGACGATTTTATTTATATAAGTAAGGCTAAGTTTATCAATATTTTATTTTTCGATCCAATATATCGATAACTTATTATGCATGTAGTATGCAGGTAACAAATTGAAACATATCAGCTGACAAATAAGATAAATAAATATGGCTCAGTATCAACAAACAATTTAAAAAAGTTGATATACTGTATTTAACTAACCTAACCTAACCTAAAAACTAACAAAACTTTCTGTATCATTTCAAAATTCCGTATGATATTCCCTACATGCATTTTCTGTTATCAAACTGAATATTGAAATGGTAGGCCTACAGCAAGTTTGATTTAGGACAGTTTCATTTCTTAATTGAGCGGAGCGAGCGAAGCTCTTATACGTCGACTCTTATGCCATTTCGTAATACGCAAACTCCTCCTAGACGGCTGAATTAATCGTTTTCAAATTTTGCATGGTGATAAAGACCATATCAGTGAGTGCCAACATCTATATGGCGTTAAAAAAGTCTCTCAGGAATCCGCCCCACTAGGTCTCAAAGTTTCAATGTAATCCTTATGGAAGCAGTATTTGACACATAAACAAAGACATATGATCAGCTGTTGACTTTTGAATGCATTAAATAAAGAAATAGCTGATAGCATTATTCCACAGATATTAGAACAGAAACGGTATGGATCATAAATATAATCAAATTACGACACTAGCTTGAGGTCCGTGACGTAGGAAGTGGTGAAGGAAGTAGTAAAGGTGAGCAGTCTGGAGTGTGGAAACTGTTTATGACGATTAGATTAAGGTATCTGCATTCCTAAAATTCTATGGGAAGGGAGGAAAACAGGTCCGCGACGTAGGAAGTGGTGAAGGAAGTAGTCAATGCGAGCTGTCCGGAGTGTGGGAACTGTTTATACCGATTATATTGAGGCATCTGCAATCCTAAAATGCTATTGGAAGGGAAGGAAACAGGTCCGCGTTGTAGGAAGTGGTGAAGGAAGTAGTAAAGGCGAGCTGTTCGGGGCGTGGGATCTGTTTATGACCATTAGATTAAGGTATTTGCAATCCTAAAATACTATGGGAAGGGAGGAAAACAGGTCCGCGACGTAGAAAGTGGTGAAGGAAGTAATCAAGGCGAGCTGTCCGGAGTGTGGAAACTGTTTATGACGATTAGATTAAGGTATCTACAATCCTAAAATGCTATGGGAAGGGAGAAAAACATTTCCGTGATGTAGGATGTGGTGAAGGAAGTAGTCAAGGCGAGCTGTCCGGAGTGTGGGAACTGTTTATGACGATTAGATTAAGGTATCTGCAATCCTAAAATGTTATGGGAAAGAAGGGAAACAAGTCCGTGACGTAGGAAGTGGGGTGAAGGAAGTAGTAAAGGCAAGCAGTCTGGACTGTGGGAACTGTTTGTGATGATTAGATTAAGGTATCTGCAACGTAATCTAAAAGTAACGTATCTAAAATACTAAAATGATGTAGGAAAGTGATGAAAACAGGTCCACAACGTAGGAAGTGGCTTAGGAAATAGTAAAGCATGAGCACAGTGTGAGAATCGTCTGTGGCAGTTAGATTAATGTATTTTCAATCCTAAAATGCTATGAGAAGGGAAGAAACAGGCCCCACGACGGAGGACGTGGTGAAGGAGGTATTGAAGGCTGGCAGTGCAGAGTGGGGGAACCGTTTGAGCAGTTAGATAAATGTATCTGTAATCTTAAATGCTATGAGAAGGGAAGGAAACAGGTCTATGACGTATGAAATGGTGAAGCAATTAGTAAGGCTAGCTGTGCAGAGTGTGGGAACTGTCTTCGGCAATTACATTAATGTAACTGCAATCCTAAAATGCTATGGGAAGAGAGGGAAACAGGTCTACGACGTAGGGGGTGGTGAAGGAAGTAGTAAAGGTGAGCAGTGTTGAGTGTGGGAATGGATTAATGTATCTGCAATACTAAAATGCTACGGTAAGAAGAGACTGTAGACTGTGTAGGTTTAAATGATTACAAAGCACGAATCGATACATATTTTAAATACATGCAATCGTTTACAATCGAAATATACAACTGAGTTGACAACAACTGATTTTTACTCCATAGAGGCTAAAAACTATTTTTACTCCCTAAAGAGAAAAATGCTACTTTAGACCCGCAACGCATGCATTAAAAACGACTGTTTTTACTGCAGTATGACAAAAACAATATAATATGAACCCTTGATGACTCCGCTCAATTTTGTGGATGCCTCTGCGAACGCCACCTAGTCTATATATCAGTTATTAGTTAGGTACCCTACCTATAGGCTATATATAATTTTTGCCTTAGCAAGATCAGTTGTCAATTTGTAATTGAAATGCGTTTGAAGATATAAAAACAGAAGGAATACGGAACGTAAAGGAAAAAATAAATATCGATATTTAAAAAGATCTTCTATAGTTGAAAGATCTTCTACCGAATGTTCCCTTTAACCGGAAAGTAAGTTAACTTACCAAAATTGTGCAGAAAACAATCACCCACATGGACCTTTAATTTATACTTTAGAGCCTACTTTCACAGCCAACAGCATATGTATGGGATATTCAAATAAACTTACAACTAACAACCAAGTCGATTTATAATAAATTGTACATTTGTAACAAGCCAAAAAGTGTATGGATGTTGGCGCCAACAATAGTCGACATCGGTCCAGTGAGTTCATACTACGCTTCAACTAACCTGATAGTTGTCGCCAATCTGTGACAAAAATCTTTACGTCAACCATAGTTGACTCTATGGTCTGTGGTGAAGGAATTCTATTAACATGTCGGTAGTGAACGTGTTAAGCCACTTGTAAATATTATTGTTGGTATTATAATTGCTTGTATCCGGGGCCGCTCTTATAAAGTTAAATGATCCTGGGGGCCATGATCAAGGGGGGCAAGAAGTTTTAGGTCTGTTGGGGGCGCAAGGAAGAGAATTCACTCACAAGGTAAGTGGAGAGGAGCACAATCATCTCTTGGGCCCATAGTGTATCATTTAAATCTCTTGACTTTGAGAGTATTCACTCAAACTCAATGAACTACTATTAATCAGTTTGGTTATTGATCGGGTGCAGTTTCTTAACCAGGAGTAACTTAGGCTAAATATAGATTTAAAATTGATTTCATCATACGGATATAAGAACCATTAAGTGCAGCCAATTGTTAATCAACCATTTTGGTTTAATCGATTTTAGGGTAGCACTAAAAAACTGCAACCCAACTAACAGCTTTACAATACTTACTTAATTAAAAAAGCCCCAGCAACACATGTCCCAATAAAACTTCCAACTACTACTGGCTTAGCTATATTTATTACCATTTTAATTTTTAGCCAGAGTTTAGCAAGTTGCCTAGACTACCTTATTGCATTTGGTGGTAATTTGGTTATTTCACGATACAAACTTATTGATAAACATATACCGAGGGAGCTTGTAGACGTTATTCTTAGAGGATAAAAACAATTTTTAACAAATTATAGTCACTTCAACTTGATTTACGAATTATAACTTTACAAAACAATAAATTAGTTCTACATAACCTAAGTATAAGTAGAGAATGGGAATGGGAGTGAACTCATTGAACTGATGAACTCAAATACTCAAGAGCTCAAGAGCTTTTGTTTTGGTTTTTGGTTTTGACCGGAGGCCCCGGAGGGAGACCGGTAGTTAATCAGCTGGTAGCGGTGCTGTAGCAGAAAGCTTCAGCGCTTCACTCTTCAGCCAGCAGAAACATGAGTGGAGTCACGGCCACCTTTGCCGCGGCCTGGGGCCCGTTTCATAATGAATTTTACTAACTAATATTATTGGCTTTGTAGTTTGTAACTTGTTCACTTCTGTTTCATAACCACAAAGTAATCATTTACAAATTACGAACTAATATTAGATTGTAATTTGTAACTTGTAAAATTTGGTTTCATAATAAAATAATAGTTTGTAGATTGTGAGTTTTTGTTTCATAATAAAAAGCTAATAAAAAGGAAATTACAAGTAGTGAATTAAAAAATATTAGTATAACTTTCAGTTTCTTGTTTCATAATGTTGACTAATAACTTGCATTTGTTATTTAGTTACGTTACTAAGTTACTATTATAGTTACTTATTTTAAGACATACAGACACACGCACAAACACACACACACACACACAGACATCACTTCGAAAACCACTTTTTTTGGTCCAGGGTCCAGGGGGACCCAAAACGAATATATCCACTCAAAAGTCAAACTCGAAAATTTTGACGAAAACAATAAACAACGTTGGTTAGTCTATGACAATACTTTCTCCATATACCATAGGGGGAGAAAGTAAAAATGTATCAATGTATGTTAAAAACGGGGACAGCTCACTTACTCTACAGATCATAGACTATACGAGCTTTTTAAATAATATTGAAGGTTCACTTGCACTACAGGCTCGTATACTATACGAGCCTATCGAAAATAAAAAGTAAATGAAGAGGGTTCACTTACTCTACAAATCATTGTGCCTATGAGCCTCGTGTATTATATTTAAAAATACAGTAGGAAGGTTCGCTTACTCTACAGATCATAGTGACTATGAGCCAAGCTTACGAATTATTTGATAATTCAGGAATCGGCTCGTATAGTATACGAGCCAAAATAATGAATAATATAAATTATAGGAATAGGCTCGTATACTATACGAGCCTGCAGAAAAATATTAGATGGCTCACTTACACTACAGATCATTGGCACAATGATCCGTAGAGTAAGTGAACCCTCTTCAAAATATTAGATGGCTCACTTACTCTACGGCTCATTTAGCTACTCGTTGCGCGGTTTGCATTCGTGAAACTCTAGGCGCTATGCCCGGCTTCGACTGCTGCGACTGCCTACATAAGTGTATTGCATCACCTCAATTATTTATTAAAACGAAATAAATATGTATGCACAAGTAAATTTATTACATTTTTGGACTGAATACTTTAAAAATGGAGGGAGCATGACTTTTATGTTTAATTAAATTAAACGTCATAGAATAAAACATATTTTGACTAATATCAGGTTATATAATACACACTTGTATGATCCAGATACAGAGCTACAGACAAAACCTGTGGTCCGATTTAGATTAAATTTTGTATCTGGATTTATCCACAAGTCACTAATTTTTTAAGCACGGGTTGAGAAATAATGGCAAAAATTTATAAAAACAGTTCACCAGTTTAGAATATTTCTCAGTTACTGTGAGTTGCAAAAAAGTGTATACAGAAGCATTTGTGTACACAGAAAATATAGAGGACTAGATGTATACAGAAGATATATTAAAATACAATACGCACACAACTATCAACGTTTACATATGTAAAATTAATGAATTTGTTGTATTGAGTATTTTTAACATTATGACGAAGCCTTAACAAAACATATTTTTTTTTAGGAGTTCTAGGGTGTTAAACTATATTGTATTTATCTTTTGTGGAAGATTCTGTCCACGATTTATGATTGCTAACAATTTAATACAAAGATTTAAGTCTCTGTACGTGAAGACTAAAAACACGGAACAAACTTTAAAGTGATAGAAAAGATTTGATCAGGAGCTGGCGTTTGATACCTTTTGGGAATAAATATAGTCTCTACTTCAAAGGTATACATGGTGAGGTAGCCTCTGGAAGTCCATCTTCAGGTTAACAAAAACGTCAATAGGTCATCTAACCAATTTGGTTAGATGACCTATTGACGTTTTCTGAAGATGGACTTATTTTCAAGTCCGAAACTATAGTAGTGTAATACTGAAGAAGGATCACTTGACGAAGCCAGGTAACTTAAACCATTTAGCTTAAATTTTATACAAGTTGGTTTCACACCAACATTTCATGCACATTATGAAATCTATATAATTAATACGCGAACACGAAGTTTGTCGGTTGAATCCTCCACCATTTCTTAACCGATTTTATCCACTGACGTCTCATTGGAAAGAGCGTGTTGCGTAGATTTGCAAACTGGCCTAAAATTTTTGAAAAAGTCTCTTGGCCTCTGCCACAGTGGCTTTTTAAGTTCCCATGTTATCCTTACGAAGAACATAATATTGTTTACATCAGCTGTTTAATGTAATTGTGTTCTTTGTTTTTCAATTCAACGAAACGCATTGGTTACATTAACTGACTTTGTGGAAATTAAATATCTATCTATATATTAATTACGAAAGCCGATTCTTTGCGTCAAAATTGTGGGCGACTGGGTAGTCGTAGAACGACGGGAGAGGGTTCAAATTAAAGGATAAATAGTGAAATTCCCCAAATTTTAACACAAAATTAGATATAACCTTTGACTTAGTCAATAATATAACGTAAAATGTTCTCCATAAGAATAGCATTAGAAGCCATTTGTCTGTTGATTTTTGTTTACCTCAATACAGCTGATCGTGATTTTAAGCCAGTAAGCAATATAACATTTGGATTTAACTCATTTGCCAGTAAATTCTGCAATGTACTGTATACTGTACTATATAAAACCAGGGATGACGTTACCTACAATTGAGACTTTTGTCGTTATGTCTTAGAATGTTGAAATTAATTTTACTGTGCAATTTGCAAATTTGTGTATTTGTATGTAAATTAGCCAAGCGCATTAAATTTAGCAGAATCGTGGGAGATGGTTAAAATCAAAGTAAATGGAAGTAGAATGGCTGAAACATTTAAGCTTTGGTTTTTTTAAACATATGTTCACGAAGTTTACAAAATTATTTTACTTTGATTACATTTCTTCACATTAGTAGGTTATTGTTGTGCTCAAGGAATGTTTAACATGAAATAGCCCCATTGACTAAATAATCAACGATGCAAGATTAGTTAGAAAAGTTCTATTTTGTTTTTATTTCAAAACATATGTTGAAAATTTATTCAAAACTTTTGTTTTAAATTTCATAACATTTAATTTGTCACGTAATTGTAGTGTTTAATTAGTACAGGTAAAATAGGCATGTAATAACAAAAAAATTGGTCCGTTGATAAAACTTGGTGAACATTTTTCTTTTGTCATAAGAAATAAGAATCTAAAGAGTCCATATACAAATTTTAGGTGGAAGGGTGTTTTTCGGGGGGGGGGGGGGGGAGAATTATCACTTTGAAAAACCGAAAATTCCAAATTGACGAAATAAAGGCACGTGACACATGTTTTTGGGTTATTTTTGATGCAGAATCGAATAAAGATAAGAGTCAGACGATATAACCTCCATATAAAGAGTTTTTGTCTTGATTACCTCTTATATTCGATAATTTTCCCAATTAGTACAGGTAAGTTGATACCAAAAACACCATAGTATAAAAAAAATTTCCGTTGATGAATCAGAGTAAAAACCACTTTACATACCGGTATAGCTTTTGCCATAATAATAAAGAATCAAAATAGCGCATAAAAATAGAAAATACCCCCGCCGCAGCAAACCTGCAGACTAAGCAAATTTCTAATTACCTGACTGGAGTTTCAGTTAAGTCTGTTTTATTTTAAAATAACACAAGGGTTTTAGGTGTTTTTATAAGTACCTAGGGTTGCTGCTACAATTACCCTCCCAATATAGTGTTTTTAGTAAAGTGTGAATAGCTTAGTTTAAAGTAAATACATTTTAAATACATTCCCAAGTCGTATGGAAATATATCTTCAGTTTTGTTGAAAGATCGGAAAATGCCTGAAGTTCAAAGAAGAAATATAGAAAATGGGAGGAGGAGACAATACGCATAAGATACCTTATTATTATTATAAGGTATCTTATGCGTATAAGGAGAGTAGAGAAATAGAGGCCTGGTCTAACAGATGGGTATCCATCCAGATACACATTTACTTGGTGAGATGAATAATATTGGCCAGTTCTGCTATGCAACTTACTTTGGAAGAGAAAAAATATACGAAGCACATAGTGTTGTCACGGTGGTAAAATAAACTTGCCTAATGTCAGATCTTAAAATGAATGTATGCAAGAAATTTTTGACAGATCGAGATATTTCAAATTATTTAGTGGAAACCATAATATTGCCTTGACTATGATAAGTTCAAGTAGTAAGATTATACCAAATCTTGGCGGACCTTATGTTTTTATTGTAAACTTTTGTATTACTCGCTCTACTTCAATTGAGGAAAAGCACAAATGGGTTGTTTACTTCTAGGTTATGTTTCCAGTTCCTCTGACAAACTTATACAACGTTTTTTGACTTAATTCACCAACATAATCCAGACGTTTCAAGTAAAAAATAAGACGTTTCAAAAACTCATTTGCTATTGAAAATTTTAGTGACAATATTAGACATAAGTGAAGGAATTAGTGTTTATGTATTCAACGATCGAGTAGTTACAGTCGAGTTTATTTTTATGATCCAGGAGAGGCAAATAATATATGCTGTTCAAAAAGAGAAAATTAAAATTGCTATGCAAATCTTATAGCTACAAGAGTTATCCAACCTATTTCAACAAATGAATTCATACTTTCAAAACTTTGGGACAGGTAGGCCTATTAAGAGAAACCCCACTGAACAACGTGAGAACGTTCTGATGCGGGGCATATAGCCTACCGTGACTGACAGACAACACTTTAAAATACGGTAACCAACTTTCAA